CTCTAAAAATTATGGACGTTTTGTAAACTTTTTTATTTCCATTTATTCCATATTAAACGTTCGATCTCTGCTATGGCAGCTATATGTCAAAAATCGACATCCAATTTCAATAAAATAGAGTTCGAAATTTAACACCATATCGAAAAAGTCGATATGACCAACAACAAAGGTTTATTTTTTCGATCTCTCCTGTGGTCGATCTCTCACGTTACGACCTTTATAATGCATCCAATAACTCCGTCGATCGGTTTCTGATAACCAAACTTTTATAAGAGTTTCAGTGGGATAGCTTAAAAACCGACAGACTAGTTTAAATAGAAACAGACCGACGGATATATATAGGATATATATATACTTTATGGGGTCTGAGGCGTCTTTTTCACTGCATTGCAAACTTCTGACTGAAATTAAAATACCCTCTGCAAGATTATGAAAATAACAAAAATTAAGAAATTAAGCTGATTTACAGTACCATTTACCGTTTCACAAGAACTCCAACAAGAGGCTTCTGAGACCTGACTACCAGCCCAAGTATTCACTGCAGATTCACAGCCAAACGAAACAAATATTTGCTTCTCTGCTGCCAAAATCGATTTTTCTTGTTCATAAATTTCTTTCTGAACGTGGTAATAGAATATCCTAACAACAGGGGCGTAGCTACCGCCGTATATGCCGTATCAATTATACGGGGCCCCGGGGCACGGGGGCCCCGAAGTGTGTAACAGTGAATATTTAAAATTTGATTTTTATTTGTAAAATGGGTTAATAATGTGATAAATAAATATTTCTTCTCACAATATTTTTTATACCCTTGCAGAGCAAAAGGGTATTAAAATTTCAGTCAGAAGTTTGCAAGGCAGTGAAGGAGACACCTCAGACCCCATATATATATATGCATATATATATGTATATATATTCTTGATCAGCATCACCATCTGAATCGAAATATGTATGTACGTCTGTCCGTCTGTCCGTTTCTGCCCAAACTAGTCTCTCAGTTTTAAAGCTATCGTGCTGAAACTTTCCCAAAAGGTGTGTAGTTATTGCATGCAGTATGTAAGTCGGAACGGGCCGGATCGGGCGATTATATCGGATAGCTCCCATACGAGAGAATGAAATAAAATACTCTCACGCCTTTGTTTTTGATCAGATCGACTTGATTTCTTCAAGATGGCGTTTTCGAACTGTTATTGAATTCGGATTAAATTTGATCAAAATCGGATAACTCTATCATATAGCTGCCATAGGAGCGATCGAAAAATATATATAGAATTAATGGAAATAAATTGATAACATCGTTGTTTTTTATCCCAAGAGCATGATTTTTGAATATCAAGTTTTTAAAAACTCTTATATTGAGAAAAAAGTTTCATAAAAATCGGACAACTATATCTTATAGCTGCGATAGGAAAGATCGAAAAATCTATATAGAAAAAACGGAAATCAAATTGTAACATCGTTGTTTTTCATCAGACAAGCATGATTTTTGGAATAAAGAGTTTTCTAACGACTCTTGAATACCGAATTAAATTTAATCAAAATCGGACGAGTATATCATATAGCCGTCATTTGAACAATAGTCGAAAATATAGAAAATGATTAAAAAAATCGTCTTAGCTTCGATGTTGTTTAGCCGTTATGTATTTTTTTCGACATATTTGATGACTGCAGGGGTATAAAACCTTCGGTTTTACGAAGCTAGCTTCCTTTCTTGTTTTCTTTTGTGAAAAATCTTTACCTGCATATAAGGGCCTCCAAAAAATTTTTTATACGGGGCCCCGACAAGGCACGCTACGCCACTCCCTAACAAGGTCATTTTTGAAAATTCGAAGTCGTTTTAAAGATACAGCATGTAGAAGAAAGAGCTGTTCGGAGCGTTAAGTTCAAACTTGAAACTTTGAACGGGTTTTTCTCAAAACTGTGTTTCTCAAACTCAGACTTAACAACCATAAACGCACGAAATTGACTTGTAAATCGAATAGGCCCAAAATTTCGAGTTTTGAAGTGAAACTTCCTTAGGCGCACGAGGGTAAAATTTTTTCAAATGGAATGGTAACGTCACGCATGTATGGAACGGAAGTGTAGAAAAAAAAGAGAGAGCGATCGAGACCGATTGAGAGAGAGTAAGACAGGGCGAACTTAGCATGAAGCATCCAGTGTTGCCAACTTGGCTATTTTCTGGCCAGATTTGGCTATTTTGCATGACCTAAAACTAGAAACCACTCAATATGGCAGGAGCCTGTTATGTTGGCTATTTCATAAAAAAAAATGTGCTATTTTTTAGCTATTTTAAATAATTTGTAATATTTGATATTATTTATTTATTTATAGTCGACTAAAAAACCGTCGACCATCAAATTACATTTTCGGAAATCGTATATTGGCAATAGAGACGTTGTTTGTGGCTATTGATACATAGACACCACGTTTACCGCCCAGCGTAACCGAATTGTGTATTTTAAATACTAAAATATTATTTACCCTTTTGTAGCTTTTGGGTACTTCGTGTACTTGTATAAACAAAAAGTTCGCGATGCTTGGTTGGAGGATCCCCAATTTAAGGTCTGTGTTGCAAAAGATTTAACTAACAAATCAAAAGCATTTTGCAAATATTGTAAGTGCACATTGAATGCAAAGTTGTGAAACTTTATATCGCACGTTGAAACTAAAAAAAAAAAAAATGCTGTTTTCAGTACGCCGTCCCCCATAAGTGTCTTTCACAGATTGGTACAATGGGAAAGTATTTGAGTTCCGAGGAGGTAGAAATTGGGCAAATTTTAAGCAATTTGCTTAGCGAAGAAAAATCATTAAATAATCAACACTGAATGTACAAAAATATAAGATTTTATTATTGAAAACTAACGGCTATTTTAATTTACTATTTTTGAAGAAATTTAGCTATTTTTGGCTATTTTTTTTTGCTTCCACTGCTATAAATGACCACTCAGAGTTGGCAACACTGGAAGCATCTAGCGATGGACTGAGAATAGGGAGCAAGCAAGTGAGAACTACAATGAGTGCGAAAGAGAGTATGTTTTCTTATAAGTGGGAAAAAAGCAGAAGAAGATGATGTCGTTTTACCCTCACGCTGTGCATGGGGTTTAAAAGGGACTGTTATATGACAATGAATATTAATTGTTCCGTAATTTTTGGATTTTACCCAAAGCTGTCCTTCAGGACTGCCATACTGTTCCCTTTTCAAAATATTTTTGTGCATGTTTGTATGCATGTTATAAATGTATGTGCTTGCTGCAATAATTGCAATGAGTATTTTTCATAAGCACACAAGGGTAACGTTTTGAAAAAAAATCGTCCGCGTACAATCTCTTACTTCGAAAACCCGAGAGCATATTGGTTTGTGTATTCATTTGCTAGTTAATTATTAGAACTTTAGATGGCAAATCTATCGCATAACGTCATTTGCAGTAAACGCAGATTTTTCATCTATTTACAATATTTTTAGCACTTATGATGTATATAAAAAGTGAGTTCAATTTATAAATAAACTTTATGAATAATATTTTGTGATACATTTTAAAGTCTTCCTGTACTAAGCAGTAACGCGAAGTAAGTAATATATCTGTTATCTTTTTGTTTATTTAAAATTTTAGGGCTAATTGGTTTGAAGGTTAGGTAGTTTTAATATTTAAAAGTAACCTGTTGCATTTCAACTTTCCACTCGTCATTATTATCGTCATTTCATTAATAACATTTTCAATAAAATATAAATATTTGATAAGTTCGCTTTTCTAAATTTTAAGTTCAGAAACAAAATTTAAATAACTTTTAATATTTTAATGACAATTAAATTCCTAATATATTTTCCTTTTTCCCTTTCTTTAAGTCTCGAAAATCTAAAGTTTTAGATTTTTATAAATACAGTCGAATCCCGATAATTCGTACCCCGCTAAATCGAAAATGGCGATAATTCGTAAAAAAATTCTGTCCCCTTGAAAAAAAACTCGTTAATTCGTAAAAATTCCATACATTTTGGTCCCCTCGTTAATTCGTAGTATTTGGCGCAACGCAAAGAATACCTATTGAACCTCTTATAAATCGTAATTTTGTTTCGTAACCTCTTATAAATCGTAATGCGATGTGAAATTTTTTGTAGTTAAAGCACCGTTAGATTTTGCAGACAGATATGCCGCCTTTATGTCGCTATGCATTATGAATTTTGTGTTTCTCTCGCTGTTATAATTTCATGTTATTGTTTAATTTTCCTTTAATTTGAAAAACGTACAAATGAATGTTCATACTTATAATGTTTGTTTAATTTTAATAATAATACATATGTAAATATGATGTGAAATGTAAAAACCCCGTTTATTCGAATTTTTCATTTTTGAGCCCCGTTAAATAGAAATCTCGATAAATCGAATTTCCGTCTAATTCGTAAAAAAAGTGATCCCCTTGATATTTCGAATTATCGGGACTCGACTGTATAGACAAGACTGATAAATTAGCTTGCCAAAGAAGTTTTACTTCAGACATGTTTTACTTTGTACGCACGCACTTTTTTTATAACAAAAAACCAAAGAGAAAAATGCAAAACTCACAACTTTCATTTCAATTGTCTACAAACAGTCCAGTTTTTATACCCTTGCTGAGGTAATTTTAATTTCAGTCAGAAGATTACAACGCAGTGTAACATATGAACAATAGTCGGAAATATAAAAACTTAATAGAAAAATCGACTTATGTATGTAGCTTCGATGTTGTTTAGCCTTTATATATTTCGTTCAACATATTTGATGTCTGCAAGGGTATATAAGCTTCGGCTTGACGAAGCTAGCTTTCTTTTTGTTTGTACATTCATTTAATAATAGTCCATTCCGGGCATTTAGGATTACGGATAAAAAAAGACAAAGATTCCGGTCACCTTGCTTATAGCAATTACTGGAACTACCCTAATAAACGAAAATGCTTTATCAATTGCGTGTTATCCAGATAAAGAAAAAGATAATTTTTTTTAGTAACGTAATCTGCAACTTTTTTATCTCAGTATCGTTACATTTCCTTTGGAAAATTTAAAAGATGTTACAAAATTTAATAATCAAATTTATTTACATTATCTTTTTCGTTTTTTCTATACCTTCACAAAATGTTTCGGTAAGGATAACAGTTGAGTATCAATAACTATTTTGATTTTAATTTAATATAATTTTAGAAAAAAAGCTGTCACACTAAATGTACCATAATAACTTCTGGCACTACATATTGGATGTATAAAGGCATGTTTTATAACGAATCTGAAGAATTACTTTGTCTTAAATCCAACGATCGAATTTGTATCCGGTCATGCAATAGAAATACTGGACATTGGACCCCAAAATTAGTAAAGTGCAAAATAAGTATAAATAAGAATAATCAATGCCCAGATGACTTTTTTGAAATTCAGCGGCTTAAAAACTTTCCAATTTGGTTAAAAATTACAAGTAATTCTCAATTCTCAATTATTAGTAATTCTAAAAATACAATAGACACTGCAGGCTGTAACACGTTTTTAAGCACAGTCTGCATTTTCAAATCAGAATTACTATCTAATACTGGGTGTATAAACGGTTCTATTTCTTTAATCTATCGACAAACCGAATGTTATGGTATTGACTGTATAAAAAAAACTTTTCTTCACGTCAATTCCAAAGAGTACTTAAAAAAATATAGTTGGATTAGGAGGAGATTGCTGAGGTCTAAGTTAAGAAAAAGCCCAACAAAATTTTTTATAATTGATTACTTTCTCGGTAGTCCTGGGAAAAGGTATATTATTTTAATAAATTTATTTAAAAAGGTAACTATTGTTAAAGCAGGTTTAAAATGGACTTCTGCTTTAAGTAAACACATTATAACGTCAACAAATTTAGTGAAGACGGAGTTGAAAACTAACGCACACTTAAAAGCAATATTACTTGTGGTTTATAATCGAAAATATTTATGGGTAACTAAAAAGTTTGATATTGGTCTTAAATGTTTTAAGTTTTCAAAATACTTTCATTTAAAAAATGCTAGCATTTATCTTATTTGGAAGAATAAAGAAAGAACTTATTCTATTATGCAAGTTAAGTTGGTTTCGAGTTATCCGAGGGAATATTGGTGTGAAGGTGATAGCATTTTTAATTTTAAGTTAGTATCTACTCGAAGATTAAAAGGTGGAAGCACATATAAAGGGTTTGGATTTATTATTCGTTTAAATGTCTCATGCATTCGATCAAACTTTTCCAACATTTTTTGTAAGAATTCTTACATTGGCTCCAATGTGGCTGTTCAAAGTCTTAAAAATGATATAATACGTGCAACAAACATTTCAGATACGATCATGGTACACGATGTCCGAATTATTAATATGAAATGGATCACGAATGTGTCAACTGTTTATTGGATTCATATTATAGAATCACTCAAAATGTCAAGCAATGTTTCGGAAACCATAGATAATGAAAATCTTGAAAATACCAAAATGTCATTTAACTCTTTTCTGCCTATAAAAATAGCACTAAAAAAAACATTTAAAGATCTCAGCATCAACTCGACTTTTTTAATAAAAAGTGCAGAGTATTGTTATTCAGAAGTTTTATTTCCTACAAATGGAAAGAGAAAGAAGTGGGTCCAAGCGCGCATTAGAGAAATGGTGACGACAAAAATATTATGCCTTAATAAAAATCTACAGACAAAAGCGGTTAAATCTAATCCAGAAGAAATTTTAAGAAAAGTTAAAATCATAATTCTACAAAGTAAAAAAGAACTAGTTCCGGTCGATATAATTTTTATCTCTAACATCATACAACCAACACTTACAAATATTTCATTAAATTTGAGGGACGAAGGAATGCATGAAGGTTTTTCTAAATGGAGAATTGCTTATGCTGACATTTTTAGTATTTACAGTATAATATTATGTAATGACATGAAAGTAATAAAAATGTCAGCTAAGCTAAATGATACAAATAAGAAGTTATTGGATTCATTCGAAACGAACATTGAGACGATATCAAGGATATCCTTAAATAAAATCGATATTGGGGAAAAAGAATTTCGTTTGGAATCGGAAAATGAAAATATAGACTATGAGGATATTGGTGTATCCGTACAAATTTCAAAACACATTTTAAAATTTTTTATAAACCCCATTATTGCCAACGTGTCTGGAATAGCTTTGTTTACAAATAATGGAACACGAAAAGTACACCAAAAATTAAAAGGGTCATTTATAAATGAACATTACCGATTTCTTCAATCTAATCATGATATTAATGACTTTGTTAACGAACCAAACCTACAACTCGGTGTATATTTACCAGTAGAGCTTTTAACTAGGTTAACAGCATTCTCTGATATGCCTAAAACTTCCAAAAACCTAAGTAAACTTATTATTGTTATTAAAATATACTCAAATGGCAAGTTATTTCAACGGTCTACTAAAACTAAAAGACTCATAAGTCGTAAAGTATCAATATCATTACCTGGTTATAGTTCCATTCTTCCTATGCCTTTCCCACTTATCTTTCGAACTACAAGCTATGGAAATATGATGTCTGGATCTTGTCAACATTGGAATCACGGGCGTTGGAAAGTCGGTCGTTTACCGATTGCGAACAAGTTTGAAATAAGGGATGTTATTGTACTATGTTTTTTGAGACGTCTGACATCATTTGCTTTTCTTGTTGAGCCTCATATTTCAACAGATAAAAAATGAGAAATTAATGAGATAAAGTGGCATGTTATAGGTAAAACAATATTATGCTGCCTACTTACTCTTTGCAATAGCCCGTCATCTAACATTTTACAGCAGTTTGTGTAATTTGACCTTGTAAATATTATATAAAAATGTGTTTAAAGTTAGTTAAACTTACTCTAAGCTTTGTAAATCTATTCGTGTTATGATGTAAAGGAATTTTTAACTCGAATAAACGTTTTGCAATAAACATTAACAAAATTAAAAATGATATTTTTTGTCTTTGTTCTCAATGTTGGTAACAATTCTATTCCTAGTCGCGTAAATGCACAGCACACATTGACCACGGTCCTCAGGAAGATGACAAAAAATGTCAAATAAAAAATAAGAAAGGATTTTTCATATTTTCGACTATGGTTCATATGACCGCTAAATGATATAGTCGTCCGATTTTGATCAAATTTAAATCGTAATTCAACAGTCGTTAGAAACTCTATCAGGCAGGCTCCGGTTTTCACTTTCACAAGATTCTCTCGTTTTCGTTTTTGAAAACGAGAATTGGTGCTCCCGTTTTCACTTTCACAAGACTTTTTCGTTTTCAAAAACGGGCAAGTTTTTCTTGTCGAAATGAAAAGTAAATGCCTTTTTCTACATTAAATCGGTTCTTAATTGCAAAAGGAAAAAAATAGTTGGTCTATTGATGTTAATTTCACATCATCAGTAGGTCAATCTAATTCGTATTTATTTTTTAAATAATTATTTTCTGAACCCATCTTGATTTCATACATAAAATATTTGCCGTCGGCAACAACAACTTTCGTTTTGCTGAGGGGCCGATAAATCTATTGCCCAAAGTTATCATCAATGCTGTCGTACTTGTAGTGGAACGAAACAACCACTTAAAAATACTTATAAAATGAAAACGAAGCTAAAATATTTGTAAAGAAAAGTAAAATAAGCTTTTTATAAATAAATATGATTAATTTAGTTTCTTAAATGGCAAAAGTGCAGTAAAAAAGTTGTTGAGAATAGTGGAATGAAAGCTGCAAAAAAGGTGCCAGCCCCTTATTCTGGGAACAGCTTATTTGAAATTTTGAAAATGTAAGTATGTAAGACAACTTAATTTGTGTATTTAAAACTAAATGCAAAGCTATTGTTTTTAGGGGGAAGCATAAGTCGTCGCTCCAGGACGAAATTATTCTGGATTTCATGAAAGACAAGCCAGATCTGGCCCGAGGCTTTGTCAAAGGAGATCGAGTGGCTGCAGAGGCGAAGTGGGCAGATCTTGCTGGCGCGTTGAACGCAATTGGGCCTCCCATTAAAGACGTTGCAGGATGGAAGAAGGTATGACTATTAATTACTATATAAAAGAAAGCTAATATATCAAAGAAAAATATTCCAGGTTTGGTGCGACTGGAAGTCCAACATCCGAAAGAAGATAGCCAAAAACAAGGCTGAGGCCAGGGCCACTGGCGGTGGTCCTTACTCGCAGCAGGTTATAACGGACGTGGAGGAGGAGGTGGCCAAGATCTGCGGCCTGTACGAAATGGTGGAGGGAGTGGCTGGGCCATCACATGGAGTTTCGCCCACCGTGAACCCTGATTTAGAAGGGGAGGAGGAAGAAACCCCAGATAAGGACCCGGCAGCCGAGGAGCCAAGCCGAAAGCGTCGGCGAGGCCCTGAACATGATCTCCAAACCCTTTGCGCAGCACAGCTCGAAGTTCTGTCGCAGATGAGCAACTCCATGTCCAAGCACTTTCAGAGAATGGAGGCTCTGCAACGGGAGGACATGGAGTTGAAGAGAGAGCTCCTCTCAGAATTCAATGAGATAATAAAAAAACTAGGAGAATAAATAGAATAAGTAAATGTAAAGATGTTTTATTTATATAAACTTGCAGGGTTTTTTTTTTAAATTTTATTCAGAAGTTTGCAGCAGAGGAACAATCAGTATTAAGTTTATACTGGAAGAGACAGAGCAATTTCGTCGCGTACTGATTGTCCGGCATTATTTTCCTCTGGTTCATTTTCGTCTGAAGTCTTTTCTGTATCGTCAAAATAAAAGTCCTCAGTAATTGACACATTTCGTCTTCTACAAATGTTGTGCAAGGCACAGCATACATTGACAATATGGCAACAAAAAACCGGCTCGTAATTTAAGCATCGTTGCAGGCAACGGAAACGGCTTTTAAGCACCCCAATTGTCAGTTCGATAATATTCCTGGCTCCTGTATGTCTTAAATTAAAAGTATGCTGATGCGTCCCAATCTCTGCGCTCCTGTAGGGAGTTAAAACGAAACTCTCTAGGGCGTATCCGGAATCCACTAAAACAAAATGCCCGTTTATAGTCCTGGAAAAATATTCCCTGATGTCGGAGTGGTTCCAAATAAAAGAATCATGGCAGGACCCAGGGTGAGTGGCATCAATGGCGATGATCTCCATATTATAGTTGCAAACCTAAGGAAATAAAAAGGTTTTTACATAACTTCAATTAACAGATTTGGTCGATATACTTACCACCATGGCGTTCATGCTGTATTAAAGAAAACAGAGGAATTGTTTACAGGCTTCTGAATTTTTATGTGAGTTCCATCCACATAGGCGACTATTTTTGGAAGTTGATACTTTCTGAAGAAGTATTCGAAAGATTTCTGCATTTGTTGCCTGGACATCTGGAGGGAAATAGCATCCTTACATAGAAGCCTGTCCATCAACGGAATAAATATGTGCAGAATCTTTCCGAATGTGCGTCGCCCAATGTTTATATGATGGTCCTTGGCCACTGAAAACTGGTAGCAGCCAGTAGCAAGGTATCGCAACACAGCAGCCAATTGCATTGAGTGTGACAGTGTGGTTACTTTTAAATGTGGCTTGACTATCTCTTAAATGGTTTTGAAAGTATTTTTGTCAATCCTAAATGATTTAACAAACCTGTAAAATTTTAAGTTACTAGAGGTATTTTAAATATCTGTGAATGAGACTTACCGATCGTCAGACATATTAAAAACACATGTGTTGGATCTAAGATGTCTCGATTTTCTTAAATCAATCAATTTCTGTTTTCTTCTGGCTTCAAAACAGGCAATTGAAAATATAAAAGGCATTTTTGGCGTTGTTTACTTTTGACCAAAAAAAACAATTTAGCAGTTTGAACAGTGAAAAACGGTGAAAAAATGAACCGTTCCGATAATGAAACGATGACAAAAAGTTTGTGAAAACCGGAGCACCTAAAACGAAAACGAGAAAAAAAAGTGAAAACCGGAGCCTGCCTGTATATTCTGTGACGCCTCATTCAACGAGGCGCACATATTTCCTTTTCTTTTGTTTATCTTTTTATATCCCTATTGTTATTTCATTAGTCATGTAAGGGAAGCGCCTTGAATTATTTGTTATTGTAGTTTTAAGCACAGCTGTTAAGCCATTACATACAACAACGTTGCCATTTATTTCGCGCCCTGACTAACGTTGCCATTTTCGGCACTATCGATCAACGCACTGACGGTTGACACGTTGCCAGATCGCAAGACCTTTCCAGATCGCGACGCTGTCAAAACCGCCACGTTGACGGGTCCCTATCGATAGTGATAGATACTCGATATTCGAGAGAGTGACAGCCTGGTCAGAGGATCGAGATGGTAAACATACATCATACACACGATACAGCCACCGCGGCTTAACAAACAGTCATCGGTGCAGCAGCAGGGAAACAAGGCAGGACAAGTATTAAATAAAGTGAAGTTATATATTGTGATCATTTAATCCCAGTGCGTATTTAATTTCGTAGACTTCATAGAAACTAACCCTAACCCTAACCTCTCCGATCCCTACCAGTAGTAAGTGATCCCTCAGGCGTGGCTACGACAATTCCTGGTCAACACAGAGAAAGTCGGCGTGCCCCTGTTGGATTTACATCCCAATCCCTACCAGTAGTTAGTGATCCCTCAAGCGTGGCTACGACCATTCCTGGTTAATCCAGAGAACGTCGGCGTGCCCCTGTTGGATTCATATCCCAATCCCTACCAGTAGTTAGCGATCCCTCAGGCGTGGCTACGACCATTCCTGGTTAACCCAGAGAACGTCGGCGTGCCCCTGTTGGATTCACATCCCGTTCCCGTGCCCGTAGCTAATATTCCTGGGCCCAGACACGCTCACGCGTTCCTACTCTTACCTACCAAGCATAGCTTCGGTACAGTCAGGTGTCTCACAGGCACGTGGAGCTCCCCTCCCACTCCCTTCTCCGCTAGCTAACGGCGCAGAGCCCGCTAGAGGTTATGCAGTGTGCCCAAAGCCGGAGTATCATTGATCCAAATCCTGCGCTCAACAATTCCTTTTATAAACAAGTTCCCCTGTAAATTACAAATTTCTTGTAAGGATCTCTGTCACGACTGAGGTCTATCCCAGCCTGAGAAGCATCGTTACAAATGGCGCCCGAACAGGGACTTGTAGGGTAAAATCCTAGGAAAATTCCACCTTGTAGAGCAGGTTAAAATTTGGAGAAAGAAAATCTGGTTTCGGACCACCGAAAATTAACCAAAAATCATAACAAACGCCCAGTATATGACGCAAAGAAACGCGAAACGTGACGTAAAGTAACAAAGGTCCGAAAAGTAAACCGAGCGAGTGAATCAAGTGAACCAGTGAATGAAGTGAACCAGTGAAGAAAATTTTTATATCTTTTCCAAGCGGAAAATAAACTAGTAAAGAAAAATTTTATATGAAGTGGAAGAAAATAAATTGAAACCTAACAAAGTAACACGGAAGTGAAATACACTGAGGGAAAAAAATAATACACTGGGAAAAAAATTTATATATAAATATAATTATTAAATTATAATAAATAAATAAATGAAATAAATCAACATTCTAATGAAATCAAACCAAGAAGACGACTCCTAATACAACACAAAATAAAAACACATACAACAAAATAAAGCAAAACGCACCGAAGAAGAAAAAAAACCGACCATGGAAGAAATAAATAAAGCAGCGCAGGACAAAAAGGCAGCGAACAATCCTGGTGAGTCTGTTCCAATTAGACTTAAGAATCCTGGTGTGGGGACGAATTGGATATATTCCCGTCGTAAGGAGGAATTATTAGCCTTCGCAACAGAGTTTGGGTTCGCGTCAGGGGGCCGCGTCGAGGATCTCCAGAAAATTTTTCGCCGCCTTCGTCAAACACTCGG